GGTCCTTATCGCGTTCGGGGTCTCTCAAACTGTTAACGATTGCATCATCAGCAGTCGCTGCATCTATCATAGCTTGCGTACCTGCGTATGCTCAGATGTGGACATATTTTGCATCTTACATGCTTCAACCTAAGATATCCTTCTTACGTCTTCTCACAAAAACCGGTTTTCCCCTCCATTTAACAACAAAGTTCTGCCCTGGCTGAATACCCCTCAAGTCGACCTCAATGACCCCCGCAGCTATCGCATCGCGTGCTGGCCAAAGACCATGGACGACCTTAACCACCGTGCCTGAGATCTATGATATTTACCATACTAATAGGACGGATGAACTACCTCTCAAGAATGCCAAACCAATGAGACCAAACATCCCTGTAGCGAAGTAGTGGAAGGGCCGGCGATCAGCATGCCAGGTTGGAAGGCGGGTGTGGCGGAAATCAAGATGGCCTTCAGGGACGCACGTATCGGGACAAGGAATGTTCTCAGCATACCCAACAGGGCGGAAGTTATCCGGATTGAACCTGAGTCGAGGGCGCGTCCTTCAGACCGGTGGTCGTGATAATGATGACCTTGCAATGGATTGGATAGCAGGCTCTCCCTCTCGCTTCCACACATCAGTACGAGTGACGTTAGCGCCTGGAAAGGATACTCTCAGATACTCGATAGAGTCGACTTAGCACCGGCGGCTAACTCTCCCTTGGCGACATCAGGCTTCCTTGGGAACACGGGTTCACGCAGATGCTCGTAATGACAATAGACGTACCTGTAGGAGGGCTGAGAAACCCAAGGCCGGTACAAGGCCACTACTCTCCCCAGCCACGCATGATGTGGGGTCCCCACGGGTCTTCATCAGCTTACGAGTATCATCAACCTGAGAATGGTTAGATACGAAGGGACGGCAAGAGGACTGAACCCACCGGAGGGTACTTCTCGGTTTTCTCAGGGTCGGGGTGTTGGGAAATGTGGTCGACTTGGTCGAATCTGAGGGGAGATAGGTTCTTTAGGTTGACAGGCGGCGATAGGGTTACCTGTTGTACCACATAGGCTTCTCACTGGAAGGCTCAGTCCTCCAAGAGTCGATCGTCTTCACAGTAGTTGGACGATGTAGACGAAACGCAGATGTATGGAGGAGACGACCTCTCTGGGTTGAAGGACGACGGCCCCCACCAGCGAGCAACATACTCATCAGGAGGCTCAAAAATGGTATGGTACACTCTAGAACATTGCATAATAGGTGGCGATGCGTACTTAAGATAGCTTAGAATTCGTTTTTGTATCTCAGGCCCAATGGATGCATTCAGAAACGCTACGATGATGAAAATCAACACTTGAGGAGTGACCGGCGGCTACTGCCCCGACGACGGCAGTTCACGGTTCGAACGTAGGCAAACCGCTAGGGGCGATTGAGAAGGCTCGGCCCGCTCTTTACCTGCTGGGGTTCCTCTCTCTCTTTGGGGCATGGCCGTGGATGATATGGTGTGTGTAGATCTGTTGCCGGACATTATGGGTCTAGTGCTCTATCGCCCCTCGAACATACAAACGCCGACTTCAGTGATTACGAGCCTTCCCTAGTTTCATGCAAGATTCACGAAACTTGATTTCAACATGGGAGGTCGCCGCCCCGCATCCGTACGTATCCACATCTCTACGTATAAATCGTCACGCGCCACCAAAAAGTAAGGACAACCTCGCTTCGAAAGTTTTTGTAGATAAATATGGTGCAGTGGGTTAGATTTATAGTAACTGAGAGGGTGTCCAGAGTTCAATCCTCGAAATTTTTAGTTTTATTTTCGAGCGTTTACCGCGTTTACCGTCCCCTACGACACGGCTTATCATATCGCACGCCTCCGAAATTTATCACTTTTCTAAACCACGGGTTGCAAGAGCTGGCGAGTGATATACGGTATATCATATACCGAGAATCGGACCAGGGTAGATACCTTGCAGCGCGACTCTTCTTATGCAAGATTATCAACTTTTTGGAATAAAAAGTTATAGGAATTACCCTGTCTGACAGGTTTTGCGTGTTTGATATCATCCGAATCTCTTGAGTTGATTTCAGTCACAGATTCGGACTCCCCATACTCGAATACGTATATTCCCGCGCTTTCAGCCTTATTCACTCCCATACCGAGGAGAAATCGGTCAAGATTGGTTTCCTCGGGATTTTCGGCGGGCGTCGTTAGGCGTTCGCACGATAGGCTTCAAGCCTATAGCCGCTACGCTCCGTTTTTTTCACAATGTTGCTGAAGTAGGTGCGCATTTTCGAATTATTTCACTCTGATGCTTCTCACACGCCGCCTTCACTTCAAACGACTGGAATGTCCATTTCACGAGGCGCGCTTGCACGCACATTAGCGCGCGCCTTGATAATCGATTTGTTAGGGCGCACTTTCGTCAACTTCCTGAGACGCGCCTTCCGCGTCACTGGCACCCCAAAAAGTTCCTCACGAAGCGCCCGCTTCGTACCCTTGTTGCATGACCATGATTGTGCCTCGTAAATTGGCGATTTGAGGAGATGAGGCTGGGCTTGCCATGGGCAATCCATACCATCTGCAATAATTACATCATCATCCATAAAACCTCTTGTTGTGACACCTAACGAGGTATTCAAATCGAGGTTTAGTCTTGCGTATGCATATGACCATCGTAAAGAGGAGGGCAGTTGGAGGGCAGTTAGAGTAGAAGTGTCAGGAGACTCTGTACGTCCCGTAATTGTCCTTGGGGGTGTACTGAATGGGCAGTTGAGAAGATCTTCATTATTGCCGGGTGGTTTACCCAGAATGTGGGTGAGAGCAACTCGACTGACGCGAAAAGGAAAGTTCAGAAACGTATGATCATCATGTTCCAACGAGGCATACGACACGGAAGTGTCCTAATAACACATCACGATGGACAGTATCAGTATTGAGAGTAATAGCAGTCAGGTGGGGGAGCTCGGGCATCAACCGCGTCAGGGTATTGCGTAACTGAAGGTATGATCGCCAATAAGGATCGTCACAGGAAGCACCTCATTCTCGGACCGGTCCGGCCTGGCGGAGTTGATGAAGGCTCGTTTCCGAGGATGCTTGACGCCGTCAGTGCGGACCTCGGGAGGGTCCGAGCCATGGATGAAGACCTGACGGCGGAGGCAAAGAGGATCTCTCTCATCGGCAATGAGTGTCTACCTCACAGAGGGCTAGGATGCAGTTGATGACCTGTAGCTCTGCGAGAGACAGAGTCTCGATACCCCCATGTACCTGACAGTGCACCCTTCAGCTCGTATATGCTGATGATGCTACTCCTGAGCTCATCCACATCATCAAAGCTGTTATCAAGTCACTCGATACGTGATGGGTGACAGACCTCTGGTTGGACGACCAACTCGGGGGTGGGAAGTTAACTCCATTCTGAACTAGAGACCTACTACGAATCGATCGACTACCACCAGTCGGCCTACTGCTGCTGCAACAGCCTTGGTCTCGGCTAGGATCGATGGTGAAATCCATTGCTCTATACTACTTGGTGGTCGCGGACGAGTGGCAATAACGGTCTAAAGCAGAGCCTGATGACCCCTGCCGACCCCTCACCGTCACAGCTCACCTGTAGGTCTGGATCTGTCCTCGTGATGAAGCGTGGAGGGTTGTATACCTCCAGGATGTCGTCCTTGGATGGTAGCGGAGTCGGCCGATTTTGAACATCGAACACAGCTACAATGGGCAATACGGTACACTACGAGAAGCATAGGCGTACTGGGAACATAGAGGCCTCCCTCAGCCTCCTTCATGTCTCTAAGAACGTCCAGTTGTCCCATCGATCGAGCCATCACGACCTGCCCTACAGCCAGGACCCTCAGGACCCGACGAATTGCCGAGTCCACTGCATTGTCGGCGGTGTTGGAGACGACCGTCGGGTGGCATCCACACCGTCTTTGGGGCTCTCGAGCATCACCATTGAAAGGCTCCGCTCCAACAGACTCTCTGAAGGAGATGAACAACCTCCCCCACAATTCGAGTGACGATGGTGATGCCTTTACCGCGTCTGATAGTTGCCCTGTTGCCAACGCTTGTCGTCTTGATGCCATACCAACTTCGGGACCATAGGGGCTCTGATCATCTTCCCCTTTCGGGCAGCACCGACCTATCATAAGGCCCATCTACCATCATAGTCCTATCAGATTACCCCACCTTATAACTTGAATAGAATTTCTCTACCACCCTCACTGCTCGAGGGTCGTAGTCGTATTCAGTGACTCTATCAGAGCTCTTCATACAGGAGCATTCCCCTGTACCTGGCAGAGACCTATTGCCACCACCAAGGCCTGGCCTCACATGGTGCTGTGGCGGACATATGCTGCATAGCTAGAACCAGAAGGACAGCACTGAGCTGAGGCATGTTCATCTGGCAGAGACATCCGAGGGTGAGCTCTCGATCACAGAAGGACCTGTTAGACATTCCCACACCGACACCCATCACGAGATACGGACCTCAGAGCTGTGCTGCATTCATTCTGAGTTGAGAAGTTGCCGAGGGAAGCAACTATTTGGGCAACATCATCGGCAGTACTAGCCGACGAGCTCAAAGCCTGCTGACGACGATGCATGTGGGGACGTATGCCAATAAGCAGCTGGGCCTCACTTTGAAGCTGAGCCTATGAGCCATGGAAGGCTCTACCTCATCATAGTTCTCGGCGATGCTGTGGAAAGTACGGATCGTCGAACGTGTGTCATCATCATCGTCGTTATCATTACTCGAGTGTTCTTCCTTCTCCTCTGCCGTCCCCGAGATAGATGATAACCTGAGGGATCCTCCATCATATGGCTCTAGTGGACTAGGAAGGACCTCATTGTGAGAATACGATTCAGTGCCATGTTGCCGTACTCAGCATTGGCTGCGACCTGTAGCACTCTTGCACACTCCGAATCTGTGATAATGGTCATGGAGTGTCAGGGCCAAGGGGTTTACTACTACCATCTATCGCTGTATGGGCATGATTGTCCAGTAGGAGAGCATATCCTAGTTGGAGGACCTTCTCATGGATCGGGGCTGGCCAGGTACCGCTAAAAGTCTCGAGTATATCAACAACCTGATACAGAGCTGACGGTGGTCTCTGGTCATTAGGTCGAAGCAGCGTTCAAGTGGGGTATCAAGGAGTCGATTCAGCTTTATGACTACACAGAATAAGAATTTCCGAATGGATTGTCTCTCGAGCACAACAGCATTATGATCAGCATCAGGAGTCTATGTAGGTAATTCTATAAAGAATAACTCTACCGTTGAGTCCCCCACTCACCATGGACTTCGATACCTTCCCATCACACATACGTTGGTAGAGGCGGTCTCCGAGCCGTTGAAGGGTCTTCTGAAGTCCCTGTCCTTCTACAGCACCGACGACAACAGCCACTCGTAGAAGCATTCGAGCCACACCACAGAGCTCGGTAGTCGACATGAGGACGAGACCATGGGTCCTATTGGGGTCTTGCATCTGGTATCTACGCCACGCTGCTGCATACAGTCCAGAGGCTACATAAGGGAATGCCTCAGGAGCATGGAGGGCTATCAACCTAAGGGAGTCTCCTTTGAGGTCCTCCAACCTCATCTGTCCAACAGCTCGCCCTAGCTCCTCAACGTAGCCATAACATGATAGATACAGTATAAGATTTCTCATTTGCTCAGCAGGTAGGCTACCTACTCCTTGGGTCACCTTAGAGGGCAGTCGGGGATCACATAGGACCATAGTAGCATTGCCAGCTTCCATCATATCCCTAACTATGGTGAGCCTCTCTGATGGTGTGAAGGTGTTCTCCTCCTCAACGACTCGACGGCCTATGTGTTTCCACACCCATTCCGGTGCACGATAGATGTCCCGATGGTTATAAAGGGTGTTAGCCAGTCGGAGTGTGTGGTGCCACTGACCACTATCGATGTATTGACGTAAGAGGCTATCCCACTCAAGCACAGGCTGTCTACGAAGGGCTCGATGAATGGGCATGGAGGAGGCGAACCGTCGATGATGAGGGTAGTGATGACGCGGAGGAGGGCGGTAGCGAGCAAACATGATATGAAGGGGGGCTACACTCCATAACGATATCGGTCACTGCTAGAGGTGGTTGATAACGAACACAACATCCAAGGACATTATCATTATCATCATCGCCGCATCGAACGGCGTTTCCGTAGTCTGTTGTCACCTGAGGTGATAGCATGCTTCGATCATCATTATCCTCACAGCGAGGACAACATACCTGATCGCTGGACAGGCCCTCCTGCATTCATGCCCTCACTCATTGCCGACTGCTGTTCTTGGTGAGGTGTAGGTAGGACGGGCGCTGCTGGGACTCTAGTCGAGACCGACACTCGCATGCCGCCAGGCTGTGGGGTGACGGTTCGAACTCTGACAATTATCGAGTGCTCTCCTCATCCTTCTTCCATCACTCATGACCTACACTGTGAAGTTCTCGCAGTACTGACACTTGAGGACCTGATCGGCTGTCGAGGAGGACCCCTCAGGTAAAGGGTCTGATGGCGAGGTATGGGACCTGATCCGTATCATACCATTCGGGCATGAAGATACCATACGCACCCCTGGCGGGCATCATCGAAGAAGTTAAAGACCGCATCCTGCTGAGGGGCATGCTGCTGGTCCTTGGTGCGATAAGGCCTCCATGGGAGGCGGTTCGAGGTGATGTCGGTGAGGGCATCCACACTTGGGTTCATCAGGCCTGATGAACCCAGAAGGGCTACAGGATAGGACCAGCCCCAGACCTACCCTCCATCCCCTTCCTCTTCTGTCGTAATACTGCAGGGCAGTCAGGATCCCCCCTCCTCCTCTCCTGGAGAGTGACCAGGCATTGGCTTACCGCAAATACAACGACTAAACGATGACGACGATCGTGAACTCCATATCGTCATAGCAGCTCCACTGACCAGCGAGTATGTTGGCGAATATGAGATAATCATCAGAACGACGAAGGTAGGGCGATAGGATACTACGGGAGGGAAATGCCTCAGGAACAGCATCCCCTAAGACGACTACTGTCAAAGACCACAACTATCACTGCTGCTGCTGCCGCCGCCCACCTGAGTCGGCTGCACACAGCTGTATCAAGAGGAAGGATATACTGCCGAGTGAGGAAGGACTACTCGAAGGTAGCATTAGTTGGAAAGGTAGCGAGTAGTATAAACGACATAAACTAAGTTGAGGGGTTTATACGCCCATTGATACTATAATGTGAGTGTGAATTACCCAGGTGTAACCCTCTTCATATGGACGCCCAGAGGGAGGGGGTCTCTTCCCCAAGGCACCCAATTGGCACTCAATAACACAACATTGGGTATCATTGAACTTGCAGTTGACATGAAAGCCATCAGACTAGCAGCCTTCTAGCCAGATCATTATTGTCATCCCGTTGCTTCAATGCGTACTCAACATCAGCTCTGTCAATGTAACCACTCAGTGATACTATCTAAAAACAAGTCGACCCAGATGGAGGAGGAAGAGGAGGGGGCAGGAGTAGACGACTTACAGTGAGAGCTCCCGGCTCGTCCTCAGCACATTGCCGTAGCCGCTCATCCCGACGCCGCTTATCCGTCACCGAACCAACTGCCGTCCCTGAGGGGCCCCACTCTAACCGTGATACAAGTAACCTCAACTCACGACTTCGCTGCTTGTCAGCAGTCGAAAGGAGGTCCTTCGCACCACGCTTCTGAGTCACCATCTGCAGGTCTTCCCCTAGATCCTCCATTCCGGCCTATGCAGCAGATAGAGAAGTACTCGAGCATGGACTTGAACTACCCTCTCATCGTCATCATCATCGGGACAGTCCCTCAAGTAGAGGGAGTTCTTCATGACAGTGTAGAGGTTTATTATACCCCAATTCTCGAGCTTTGCCGCGAGGACTTCAAAGTCGCGGAAGGGCATCACGTATCCCCCAGGGTACTCATTATAGCCTTCGGGTGGATGATGATAAGATAGAGCATTCATCTTATCATAAACTGCATGTAGAGTGATGGACTAAAGCAGAGGCAACCTGTAAGTTGCAGAGCATGGACCACCTCGAAACCTGTGGGCTCCTCTGGGCTCGCATTAGCATTATGAATGCTAACATGAATCGGAAATGGAAGGTATGCAGAGACGTGACCTTGTCGACTAGCACACTCGAAAAAGTGTCACTTTGAGCGGCGTTTATCTCAGCGGGTGTGACCTGAACCTCTTTTGTATCATGTATGGCCAACCTCAAGATATTCATCATTACCTTACATCCCCTCTTCCGCAACTCTATCGCTCTACGACAGATATGTAAAGCCTTGCGTATATCCCCCGAGACCGATGCCACCCTCATAGCACATAGCTTGATAGCATTGCTGAAGCCGACACTATACATTCCATAGTACCCTAACTCGCTACCTCTCAAAAACAGCCCCTCCCCCGCACTCCTCCATACGGTGGCGAATGATCTCGGCTATTTGGTCACTCGAATATGGGCTGAAGTTTACACGGCCGAACCCCAGCTGAGTAGCAGAGACCTCAACCAGTGATGATTGCGCTTGCTCACTCTCGAGGCCACTCGAGGAATCATCCGTTCGGGTAGATCCATCGTATTAGCGATGGCTACAACGGCGAGCTTGGATGTGGGTAGAGTCGGCCAATCAAAGAGGCAGTAGAGGACCTTCTGTTGTTTGGTGACTAGGTAGTCCAGCTCGTCGATGACGACGACACTGATCATATAAATGCAGGATGTGGGATTCGAACCCGGGTCGACTCACAGAACTGCTTCATCAGGACTGCCCTTCCGCATGTAAGCATCGAGCTTATCATAAGCAACTGCTGCCGAGACTTTAGCAGGGCCTATCTCTAACGCCGTGTACAGCTCTCTGAGGG